GCACTGACTTCTCCAAGGTGTCCTTGATTTCTTCCAGCTCAAGTGATCAGGTTAGAGGAATCCTGCTGCAGTACAGAGCCAATTGAGGAGTACTGTACAGAGTTATTTGCAGCTGACAAGATTTCAGATTCATGCTGATAGGATCCCAATAGCTTGTTCTGTATAAGTGGGATTTCCAAGATGGAGCTCTTATATAACTAGAGATGACTTTGTTGAGGAAAGTTTTGGTCCTCCCACTTTGCCAAGCTGTCCTTTCAGAAAGCGTTGCAAGGTGTCCTTTGGCTAGAAGGACAGAGCCGACTTTGTAACAGGGATTCTGAAGCCACAGCTTGTTTTGGACAATCAAGAAACAGGGATATTAGGTCTAGCAGAGAATACCCTTGGAAAGAGGTGCTTTTAAGTGTGAATCCGTGCTTTGTCCTTCTCCTCCTCCTCACTCCCTTTTTCCAAATCACAGGCAGCAGAAAGCCAGAAAGCACAAGCAGTTCCAGGGGCAGAAGGAGGTGTGGTGCTCTGGGACTCAGCCTGGGTTGTGTTACAACAGGAGAAGAAAGCCCTGAGTGTTAATGATGAAAACCAGAGAAGTTCCAATTACCACTCGTGTTCCTCTGCTCGTGGACCAGCTATTCTAGAATGTTTCTTCCCCACCTCTCCCTGGTGAGCTATAGACTGCTTTAGGGCACTGCAGCACTGGCTTAGACACTGTCCAGCACACTACTGGAGTTAGTACTCCCTGCAACACAGGCACCTATTTACAGTAGGAGCTGCTTCTCCGTGAAAGGTGTTCATTCACACCCCTTCACAGTTATTCCTGTGTGCTGCACAGTGAGTGTTTCTTACTTTTTCTCTTGCATGTGAATGCAAATGTATTCCAAGGAGTGGACATGAGCTGGTAACTCCTGAGACTGACATTTGAAATTGGATTTGTCTCACCTGCAGTTCAGACATTTACAGTTGGAGTTCATTATCTAGGCTTACTTTATGGGCAGCAGAAGGACACAGGAATTCCTGAGACACAGTGCATCTCCTTCTCAGGTAAACAGGTGCCACAAACCACATGTGTCACCCACTCGGTGTGTGTTTCCATCCAATGACTCTAATGATACAGTCTAGATCTCAAGGCCCAAAATAGGTGAAGTGAATCCACCCTTGCGTAAAGCAGATATTGTCTCTACCTGTGTGGGAAGTTTGTGTCAGCTCTGTTGTGATCCTTCCCTCTAGTCAGTGCTGGGCATTAGGGGGCAATCCCGAATGGTCACTGAGCTCCTGGCCTCTGAGCTCTGTGCTGGCAACATCTGTGCACTACAAGGGTGTTAATACAGAGGCAGGACTCTCCTCCCCTTTGTGCTTCAACACTGGGTCCTACGCTTCCGAGTGGGTTACATGATGGGTGGCTACCCAATGGTGAAGGAAGACCTGTGAGGCAAGACAAACACACACTCTGCACAGAGCTGCCATTTCTCAGCCGCCAGCAAATGCGTGAGTTATTAGTGCATGAGAGGAGGCAGCAGGGCCTAACGGCAGAAGCAAACACATTCATTTATTCCTGTTTTTCGGAGGTGCACCAAAGAATAAAGGCTTTCTGTCCTAGCCTGACTAGAATAGATCCCAATCATCATATAAGAAGCTCCATATCCATTCACCTTTCCCCTAAACCATCCATTCCCTCAAGCTCTTCACACTCTGCTTTTAATATATTAAAGGAAGAAAGGCACTTCCTAAATCTGACAGGTTTTCTCCCTGTCCCTGGCTGGAGTTCCCTGGGTTACAGGAGGGCTGGAGCTCTTTGAAAAACACATATAGGTGGGAGAGGAAAAGTCAGTAGCACAGTAAAACCCTGGCGATACAAAAGATCCATTCAGAGATCCTTCTGCAAACTGCTGCTCTGGCTTCATTAAAAGCATAGCCCATGGCTGTCACTCCAATAGGCTGGATTTGCTTTGGATTATCTAAATGAGAATGATCGTTTCTGCAATGGAAAAAAAAAAAAGATTAAACCAGTAGGAATTACTCTTTATGAATTATGTACTGAGCTTTCCTACTGACCTATTGAATCAGCATTGAGGGTTGGATTTCCTAGAACAGCCTTTCATGCTTGATTTTGGATATTCTCTTCTTTTCAGCCCAGAAATATTGCTAGAATGGCCTTTTTCACACTAAGTGACACTGTGGACTCCAGCTGCATCTTGGATGCAGCAGAAATAATGGAGTTTAGAAGCAGTTATCCAAATCATTCATCCTTCTGGTTTTCAGCATTCTTCTGTGGCTCCCCCCCAGTCTGGATTGAGCATGTCGTCATCTCTCAATGCGTATGACCTCGTGGCATCCTGATTAGGTGGGGAAGTGTTCATATCTGGTGTGGAAACAGGCATTCAAATGGAACAGCTAGCTCTGACAACAGAGTGATGAGCCAATTTAGGCAGCTAAACTGACAAACCATGATTCCTTTCTTTTATAACAAAAGTTTTCTGCCTTTTTAGCTGCTTGAACTGACTCACTATGGGATCAGAGGAGGCCGATCCCTGGTATACGCAAAGATGGCGGGTACAAACTGCCATGGGTGGTTGGGAGGAGCAGGACTGTCAGAGCAGCAAGGAGGTATATGGACTTAGCCATACAGTCAGATAGCTTGCCTATGGCCTATCCCCTGCTTCAGATACTTCCCTGACAGTCATCTCCCTCGGTAATGGCCTGACCCTCCAGAGGTGATTCCCAGGCAGCTGAGTCACCCGCTGCTTGCCCGTCTTCCTACACCGAGGCTCAGTGGAGCCCAGGCAGTGCTCTGTTCAGCACTCAGGAAGCGCTAGGTGTGCTTCTCCCTGCAGTTTCAGTCACCGCACTATCAATTTTTATTAATAACACGGCAAACTGAAAATCACTTTGCTATCTTATATAAGCCTGTATCAGAGTCTCTGTGCCTTTTTGGCCCACTGCCTGGTGCCCCGTAAGAAAGCTGTGTTTACAGGTTTATTTTACATCTGAAGAACTGACAGTTAATCCTGCTACATCCCTAAGGAAATGGTGAGCTTGGATAGGTGTCACTGTGTGCTCTGCGTGGCTCACTTGGAGGTCAGCTTTACAACAGCACTGGGAGTCACACTGTGACCTGGTGGCAGGTCAGAAAACAGAAAGTATGACCACGCAGGGCTGGCCAGCAGGGCAGGGCCGAGGTACAAGAGCAGAGCTGCGGAGGGGGACTCTGCAGGTGACATAGCAGAGAGGCTGTGGGCCAGAGTGGAGGGGCTATGGCGGGGCTGTTGGGGAGTCCAGGACTGAGAGGGCAGGAGGGGCTGCAGGGTGGGGTAAACAAGCTCTGTGGGAAGCTTCAAGCTGATGTAGCTGAATTGGGACAGAGCTGATTGAAATATACCCTGGAAGCGAGTACCATCCTACAGGTCAGGGTGGAAATGCAGGAGTACAGCTGGGACATGCAGCCTCATCTGATTCACAGTAGTCTATTCCTCTGCTTTTTGTTCCCTTCCATTAAATCCAACTAGGACATTGTGTCACCAGATTGCAAGTTGGGCTGCAAAACAGCAGCCGTGGGGAGGCCCCCTGAGAAGGCCCAGCTACAGCAGCTGACAGCAGTGAGTCTTGCTGCTTCATTCACACACAGCTGTCCAAAAATTTCACTCCTCCTCTACCAGAAACAGCAAGACTGTGTGTGGGGAGAGGTGATTAATGTTTCTACAGACGAGGCTCTAGGGCAGGACACGTTGGCAGGTCTGGGGCGTGGCTGTCAGGCCTCCATCCATCCCAGCTCTGTCACAAATTGCCGTGGTGACACAACGGCATGTGGGAGAGGATGCCAGATGTGTTTGGGGTCTCTGTTTTGAGAGTGATGCAGTAGGCTTCTTTAGCTGGAAGCCAGCACACTGTGAGGACTAAGTGTGTGGTCCTTACTGGATCCAACCCATTGCCCAGTGACAGTTTGAAGGTTTCCCTTTTTATGAACTGTGTTAATGACAAAAGAGGCCAGAAGGTAGGCTCTCTGCTGAGCCACACAGGGCCAGCCACCCTCTCCAGAGCCCATCTCTCCTCACTGTGGCATGTTGTAAGGTAGGGAAAACCAAACCTGGGCAGATATGTAGCTCAGAATAGCAGTCACTGGCATGTCCTATGTGTCTAACTGTCATCACAAAGCTGGGCAAAAAAGAGCCAAACACCCCCAATGTCTCCACAACACACCACCCGTAGGAAAAAAATAGTGTCCATCAAGTACTTCTTAACTGCATGTGTAGCTTTGATAATAGGGCACCTGGATTTCTCAGTGTGTCCTGCTTATGACTAGTACTACGGACAACAAGGCCATAGACTCCCTTTGCGTTAGAGAACTGACTGCAGAGGTGTGGTTGCTGTTGCCTGTTTACAGGTTTCTGGGCTTCCTTGCTAAGAACTGCTATACAGCTCTGCCATGTTTCTCTTTTCCTTGCCCACCTTCACCTAAGACTGGAAGTGATATAGCAGCAGAATACAAGAAATACAAGAAAATAGTTGAATCAGATCTTCTTCTAGAAGTCTCTGCTGAGTTTGAGGCCATACTTTCTTGCATTTGATACTTGCAGAGACTGCATCTGACATCCAGTACAAAGAGAGCTTCCACTATGGGTCAGTGTGTAGCATATATTCAGCAAGAGCAGAAATCAAAGAAGGGCATTGCAGTTAAAAAGATGTAATGACAGAGTTTATTTCTGAGGAGTGGCTGATGTTCCAGAAATATTTGCAACCAACTTATTTTATAAAATGAGTTATTGAGCTTTTAATGTAAATCAGAAGGCAAAATCAAAGGGCAAGAGGGGTGAATTATAATGATTTTGTATTTTGGTTTTTAATCTGTTTTTCAGCTGGTTCCGCTTGCATACTGTGACTGACCTGAGCTGAGCTGATGCAGCCTTTTCTACTACTTTAGCAAGGTTCTTGACCCTGATACTGCATCTAATTATGTTGGGTTGGTTGGTTGGGGAGCTGCCATCTAATCTGCTCCCTGTTGGCCCCTGCAGATCTTCCATATGACCTACGATCTGGCCAGTGCAGTGGTGAGGATTGTGAACCTGATTGGGATGATGCTGCTGCTGTGTCACTGGGATGGCTGCCTCCAGTTCCTTGTGCCTATGCTGCAGGACTTCCCCGACGATTGTTGGGTGTCCCTCAACCGCATGGTGGTAAGTGCCTGCCCTGCTTGCTCCCTCACGGCCCTAAACCCAGGCCCTCGGTCACAGCATCACCATTTCAGCATCGACCTCCCAGCACTAACATGGCATCCCCCAGCTTCCCATTTCCCCCCTCCTTTTAGGGCCTTCCTCCACTATCCAGCAGGCATTTGTAAAGCCACAGCGCTGTGGGCATGGAGGCTTCTTGGAGGCAGTCTCTGCAACAAGACAGTCTCAGGGCTGCAGAGCAGGAACCAGCCCCAGCAGAGCCTGCTGCGGGCTGCCTGCAGCAGAAGGCAGGAACCAGGCTCCCCCTCCTGGCAGGAAACAGCAAAGAGCAAGAATGGAAACGGGTTTCTGCTGGGATCTGGGCATACTGAGCCAAAGGCAGGAGGCAGAGGGGGTCCTGGAGCCATAGCTGGGTCTGATCCATAATTCTCATTACTGGTCCCAAGGGAACTCTTAAGCCTTCTGCTCCATACCCACTTCTCCCTGGGGAGCTGCAAAATATCCCATTAGAGTGGGTTGAAACAGACTCTGCCGAGCCACAGTTCGGCCTCCCGTCATGGGATCAGTAGCCAGCCTTCCCAATAACGTCCCAAGCTGTGCTGCTCATTCTGCTGTTTGCTGTGAGGGAGATTTATACCATACGGCAAATGCACGGGGAGTTCATGGTACCTTTCAACCATCTCACTGAGAATTCAGGATCTTTTATTCAAAGGGACAATGTCCAGTTGATTAAGCAGCAAAAACTGACAAAGCTTAAAAAATTGCCTCTTATTGCAGCTCTTAACCTCCAGATTCCCCCAGCCAATTTCTTCTTTTTAAAAAAAAAAAAAATCAGGCACTCGGGCAGAACAGAACAAATGTAAAATGTATAAAAGAACTGCCAACTTCCCATGCCTCCCCCATGCGGAGCTATGGGCACATGCTGCCCACGCTTGAGAAGAGTGAGCATCCATGAAAAAGTCGTCTGTTTGGTGTTTATTTATTCATTTCTTCCCTCTGCAATAATCATTCACTTCCTGCTGTTGAAAGGTGCCAGACTGACAGTTCTGGAGACTAGAACCCTTTATTTATCTACAGCAGAAGAACAACCCATGCAGCAGCTGCCTTATCTTCCCCCATGCTGCCGCCTTCTTATTTATATGGCAGGAGCAATGAAAGATCAGGGCCCCATTGTGCTTGTGCTATTCAGGTTCAAAAGGACACACAGCTCCTCATCCTGGAGAGCTCAGACGTGCAGACAGAAATCATCCCCATCCGATGAAGTGACTTGGCCATGGTGCCCTTGCAGGACAGTTTCAGAGCAGCAGATTTGAACCATGTTTCCTTTATCCTAACATTTGGGTGGAGGCTGCTGTCTGATGTCAACACCTTCTACTCGCTTTTCCCACCCAACCCTGGGAAAAGAGGTAAAAGCTAGGGTTGCAGAGTTACAAGCGTGAGTAGCACACTTGGCTCAAAGGCCAGCAGATGAGAGCTGCAACAGAAGCTGCAAAGTCACCTGAAGAGTCAAAACTACCAGGTCTACCGGTAACTGGTGCATGGAAAACCTTCACAGAAGGCAATAACTAGCAATGGCAGACACACACGGTGAGAGGAAGAATAATCCAGTGGCTGGAGCACTGACTGAAAGTGGGACACCTGGGTTCAGTTCCCAGCTCTGTTCTGTGTGATCCCAGGCAAGTCAGAGAGTTCTCCCTCCCCAGATGCTTCTCAGAATAAGTAATACTGTAATGGTGGGTATCTAAAACAGTCTGAGAGACCTGGGGTTGTACTGAGTAGGTTGCACAAATGCATGGCACTAATGCAAATTGGCTCTTGGACACTTTTCACTCAGAGGCTATAAAGCCAGAAAACCACTTGTATAACCCAGTGGAACGAAGAGCTGCAAACATACTGGGATCAGAGCCTGATAAGGAGGGAAACAAAGCTAAATTTATATAATCTAGAAAAAGAGTTACCTGGGCCAGACTATGGTCAGAGCCTATAAATGACCATCAAGGTAACTGTGTAGTGGAGGGATAGGGTCTTGAAAGGTGGCAGGAGTCAGGATAGAGGAAGAAATGATTTAGCCTTGGCACCTTTCTTGGCAGTAAGACTGAGGAGAGGGGGGAAGGATGCATCCCACAGGCAGGAGGGCTCAGTAGAGTCTCTAGGAGGGACAGGGTAGAAAGTTTCTATCCTGAGCAGAGCTTTACCAGGCAAGGACTCATGCTGCAGTACTTGTCTTCCCAGCCTTGAGAGCCTGTGAAGCTGGGAATTAAACTTGCCTTGTGTGATTTTTTCCGCTTCTCCTCTGCAGCTAAATCACCTTCACTTTTTCCACTTAATAAAAGTGAAAAAAAATTATTATCTCAGTGACTGTCTCAGAAACGGAGCCTCAGGAAACTGGAATGAAGAACTGGAGAGATGGTTATATGCCCCACGTATAGTTCAGGTGGCTTCCACTCCAGAAGCTGTACAGGAATATGCCAGCCCCAAAATAGCTTGGTTTTAGAACATTTGACAAAGAGAATAATTAGTTCTTCTGGAATCAGATAGTTTCTTCTCACAATAAGGTTCTGCCCTGTAATCTCCTGAGAAGATTTTCAGGTGTGTCATTGGGACCAGTGATGGATGTGATGGCATGATTAGTGCAACAATTTACATATAGTGAAGTAACAGGAGAGGCCACTGAGTCAGGAGACAACAAGAAACCCGTGGTCTGGGCTGTTCTCAGATTTTGGTGCCAAGATCTTGATGGCACCAGAATAGCTCTATTTGAGAGCTGTGATGGACAGGGTTGGGAGGTGGAAGGCCAGGATGGCATCTGTCTGTGACAGAGAGTTGATAGGTTGGATTTTTGGACATTCTGTACTGACCTGGTCACAGCTTTGAGGAGATGAATATACTTGGTGCACAATTGCCCTGATTACACACAGGAGCCAAAAAGCTGGGATGGAACCACGGCAGGAGAAAAAGGAATCTTCTGAAGCTGCTACAGCCAAGGGGAGCTGAAAGTGAGGTGCCAAATGCTTCGGAGGCTTTCTTCTTGAGTATGCTGGTGCTGCTTTTCCACCGCTCCGGAGTTTCCCACCTAGCCACTTGGCAGTCCATAAAACCAGCACTGATTCCGACGCAGCAGGGAAAGAAGATTCATCACCTCCCATCTGTTTCCTAAAGGTTTGATCCTCTTCCAGGGGATCTGTGAAGGGTCTGGTATTGCCAAAATCATATCAGGGGCTTGATAAATCCCTGGGTCCAATTCATCGTGGTGTTTTCTACACGCACCATGTTTCATCTTTAGCAGTTGTAGAAGGAGTGAGTCTCTGTATGACTTCTTTCTCACTGGCTCTGAAATGGCAGGGAAGGATGTTTTCAGTATTGCTCAGCCCCAATCTCAGGGGCTTCAGCATTAGCTTCCCTACAGAGCACTTTATTAAAAAGAGAAACTCTAGTGAGTCAGCTGCAGAGCAGCATGTGTGCGGGCAGCAGCATCTCCCCAAGACTCTTGCCTAGCAGCTCCTCGTCAGAGAAATCTGAGCTCCGCTGAGACCTGAAAGCTGCTGGAAACACATGGCTCGCTCCCTTGGGTATTGTGCTGAACTGATAAACCCTGCAGGGAAGGCAAATATCCCCATGTCAAATGCAGCGACCTTGCATAGGAAATACTAATTGTCTTCCCTTCTACCAAAAGAAGGAGAGTAGCTTTCCTTTTGAGCTTAACCCCCCACTTGCTCATAGAAAGGAGGAAGAGAAATGGATGCAGCGTGTGTTGTGGAAGATAGAGCAATCCTGCATAGATCTCCTGTGTGATTCCTAACTCCCCCCAAGCCTCTGGTCCAGCAGATCCCTCCTACCCTCACTCAGCAGGCATGTGAAGCTGTGTAGTAGATTATCATGTTTTATAAAACCTGTCAGGGAGCAGCAAGAGTAGGGCAGGTCCACGATGGGATATGAGCAAGGAGCCAAGGGTGACCCCTGCCAACTAGGGCAGAGTCCTACCAGTCCGAAACAGGGTCGGCAGAGCAGAAGTGGCGATAACAGGGTCCATTGACCATTCTAGTGAAGGCAGGATGACAGTTATGTCCAGGGTCTACCCAGGGAGTCCGGTTAGGAGCAGCAAGAGATGGGGTCAGAGGCAAGGCTGGAAACAAGGCTAAAGCATATGTTCAGGGCCCAGGGCTGGGCACAGGTACAGCTAGCTCAGGCAAGGTCTGGGTGCCCAGGCCTGTGCTGAAATGGAGCTCCAGGATCAATGGGTGCATGGGTGGGGCTCCCAGGCAAGGCTGACTGGGGCAATTAAGACCGGTGCACTCAGAGTCCTGAGAAAATCTCTTCTGTTAGGTGAAGGCCTCGCAAAGCTCTCCTTGGAAATAAGCCCAGAACAGGCAGGTTCTGTCCTATGTGAAGTTTGACCTATCATGTCCATTTCTCATCCCACTGTTCCCTTCCTTTAAACTGGATCTGAAGGTTTGTTTTCCCGGCCCAGCTGTGACAGTGTTGTCCAGGGGAGGGCAGTGATGTTCAGAGGCCTTATTTCACAGCTTGACATCATTGGTGTGCGGTAGAAAACCCCGAGTAACAACTCTGTGGCCAGATAAGATCACTGCTGAGACAAATGTGGGAGTTCACAAGATTGAAATACGCCCTTTCACTACAGACAGCTGCTTAATACTGTGAAATGTTAGTGGTGTAAGTCAGGCATAACGTTGTGCCCGTGGACTATGCCCCTACCCTAAGAATTTGCCAGTACTTCTCTGTGACTTTACTTCTCTCTCTCTAGTCTTCTCCAGTGGGGGTTCAACCAGGTACACTCACATGTACATCAGACCCTGAACATCCTATAAGACACCGTACTGTTTCTTTAGGTGCTTCTATAAGATACTGCAGAACGCAACACGGCATTTGAAGAGTTCCAGGAACGTGTCTCCAAGTATTCAGGGGTGGATCTGAGCAGAGGCATTGCAGTCCAGACACTAATCCCAGAGAAACTCTTAAAGTACTGCCAGCTGTTAAAAACAAGCTAGTCTGAGAAACAGCTTCAAAGTAATTTTAACTCCCTTTTGCAAATGCTCTTAGTGCCTGGCATGTGTCTGAGATAACATCCCTCTTAACTATGTTCAAGCACAGATCTGTAGCTCCATTTTAGCTTGCTTTGAGATTTGGTTAAAGAGGAGTAATTTTCTTTCTGCAGTTTAAGGCCTCATTTACCTACCCTAATGGGCGATTTTAGCCACCCCAGTATATTTGAAGTAGTACAACCCTCCCACCGTGGGGACTGGCATCGTGGTATGTTGCATATAGGGGTATGGCTGTTACGGAAACAAGCTGTATCAGTATAAGGCACCATGATGCTAGTAAACTTGTGTCCACAGTACATTTGGAACCACTACAACTAGTCTGGCTTAAAGTACTGCATTCTTGACCTGCCTGCGTATTCTGTGGAAAACAAAAGAGTGTACAGCAGGCCTAAAAACTAAAGATATACTGAGACCTATAAGCAAAGAGTCATCACGTAGACTGTGCCATGAGGATCCAGTGTTCTTTACAGATGCTCAAAGAGCTCAGAGGTTGTGTCCTAAAGGTAATTGCTCTGAAAGGTTTCCCTTTCGTGGAAGTGCCTCTCTTTCAGCAGTCCTTGATCTCTTCTCCCAGCAGACCACATTGCTCAGGATTTTTTTTTAAACAGTCTGTGTTTTCCTCCAGCTCTTGCCCCTCAGTCTGTCATTACTCAGTGATCTCCTCAGTCTGGCACGAAGCAGGCTGTCCTCACAGGGAGCCGTGCTGCTGATGGGAATTGGGGTTGTGACTTGTAAGTGTAGAGTTCCCAGGGAGCCAGAAGTGTTTCTGCAGGCTACGGGGGCTCAGTGATGTTGGATGTTGTAGTTTTGGATGACTAATTCCTACAAAACACTGGCAAGCTTCCTCGTAAACAGCACTCCTGAGCAGCAAGTTGCTGGAAGAATGGCTTTTAAAACTTGAACCTGCCTGATACCCAGATGTTCCTCTTAGGCTCTGATCATTCATGGCCATTAAAGACCCTGGCAGCCAGTTTCCTGATATGTCGAATTCCAGCTCAGCTATTCTTATTCTGTCTCCCCAAATTCCCTTTGGAATTTCAGCTCGGCATTTCTTTTCTCCCTGCTCTCAATTCTGTTGTGGAGATGTGCTGCCCTGTTAAACTACTGCCACACCGAACTCAGAAGGCAGCAGCATTTCTGCAATGTCCAGCGAGAAATGCCTGCCTGGGAAAGGAATTCTTTTAACAAGGAAGGGGTGGGACAGGACACCTGCACTACTGCCTCTGCCCCAGTAAAGCTGTGAATGTGCTGCCCACCTTTACAGGTGATGCAGCATTTTAAGCAAAGGTTGGTCAAGTGTGACTGCTCCTGCCTGTTGTCTCAGGATGACAACTTCCCTGCTGAAGCATGGACAATAGGTAGGCTAAAGCCATAGAGTTTGCCATTCTGTAAGTGCAGAGGCCATGGCTTTATGACTGCTAGTACTACAGGGCTGAGGGAAAGGGACTGTGGCTCCTGGAAATGTTAACAGCGAAGGTGCAGGGATGCCTGTGTAAGATGTGTGAGATGCTTGATGCCTTCACAGATCAGAAGTGGGTCTGCAAAATGACACAAAACTTGGGTGGTGGAAAAATGGGCCTCCCACACTTCTTTGGCCAGGGCTCTAGGATCCACAGCATAGACATGGGTGAGGCAAAGGAGCAAGGAGATTCCCTCCTTTGGTGCTTACACCTCAGGCAGCCCCCATGGTTGGATCCTTCCTGCTGCCCTGTATAGGCAGCAGAGTGCAAATGCTCTTTGCCTTCATCTGTATCTGGCTCCCCTTTGGGCTGCGGCTCCTCAGACACTGGCAAGCCAACTGCGTAGCCAGGAATAGAGACACCAATGGCCACATTGTCTCTTCTCTCTCTCTGTTGACTCAAGGGTAGTTTTTTCCAGTGCAGGAGGTGAACAGGTTCCTTCTTTGTTAGGGAGGTGAGCCCAGACAGGCTGGCGCCAGCAGGGAGCAGTCTCTTCTGGGGCTGTGAATGTGCTGCTTCTTCTGTGTCCGCTTCGCTGTCACTTCTGTTGCTTTGCCCTTCTTGTTGCAGCGTGAATCAGGCCTGTCTTGCATAATTTAACTGAATATGGCCAGGGTAACACTATCCCCTGTCTTTGTCCATGTGCTTATCTCCTAACCAAGCATTAACGCTCTCCAGAGGTTCCACTCTTTGTCACAGCTCACAAACAGCAACAGTATGCTTTGCTTCTGTTTACTACTTGTAAGCTTACTGAAAAATTTCCATCAACATTAGTGACACGCAGAGAGGTCATCAGCTATCCACCTGAATGTGATTAGATCCCTCCAAGGAGGTGTCCCGTAAACTCCAGAGCTCCCAACATTACTGGTCACTGGTGCTGAGACTGCTGCATCTCTCTGAATGGAGTTCACAAAAGTATTGCTTGTCTATTTGACAAGCCACAAACCAGGCCTTCTGTACAATGACCTTCTAAGTTGCCATGGTATATGTATCTGCAAAGCTATATGCATAATGTTAACACCTTCCTAGGAACAGAAAGAAGACTGATGAATGTACAAATTATGTGCTGAGATGAATGTCACTGTAGCAGAGGTATTTTTTCACATACCTTGTAACAGCAGTGTGTGATGACAGTGCATTTACTTTACAAGGTTTTGTGGCAAGGACTTGCTAGCATATAATACCCACAGGATAGTAAATGTACCTTGAGCTCTTCCACGAACTCAGGCTAACCAGAATAATCATGAAACTTATGCTGTTTTTTCTCCCTATCCCATGATGTAATTGCTGAGGTGCATCTTGTGTTAGTTGCGGTGAGAGAGCACAGGGTGTCTGAAAAAAGCCGTTGACTTCAGCTGGCTTCTTACGGTGGTTTATTGCATCTCTCAAAGGAGACCATTTGTAGTTTTCTCAGCTCCCTGAAAAAAGCCCTGTTTTACACTGAGAAGAACTTGCTGTCTGGACATTATCATCTTAATTTTCTGCCCTTCCCAACTCTTCAGGTAATGACCAGAGATCCTGACCATTTCCTAAATTGCTGAGGAGTGATTTCCCCCACTCTAACATCCTGCTGCTGGCAACTTTGCTCAGGCTCTCTTTTACCAGTTCTCTGTTAGAGTCCATTTCCCAGCGGAGTAATCATTTGCTTCAGTTCCTTCTCCCACACATGGGTCATTTTGAAAATATCCCAATGCATCATCTCAGTTTATCCCAGGTTACCAGTGTGTCAGACTGTCTGGCTTCCTTTCTGGAGAGTTTTGCTGGAAAGAGTACATGGAATCTGTAAAAACCCTGGCTAAAGTCAGTTAATGTCAGATGACTAAATTTGGGCTTTTTTTTTTAAATCAAGTGTGCCCAGCACTTCCAACCCATCGAAGAATTAAATCGCTTGTTTAACGTATAGAGGTGCTTTAAACATGGACTTTTGGGTCTAATGTTAGGTATCCTTTTCTGAAATGTGTTCATTTCAGAGAATGTCTTGTCCCACTGCTAAAGCTTTGTCTGTCTATCTGTCTCTTTAGAATGACTCCTGGGGGAAGCAGTATTCCTATGCGCTGTTCAAGGCAATGAGTCACATGCTCTGCATTGGGTATGGGCAGCAGGCGCCCGTTGGCATGTCAGATGTGTGGCTCACTATGCTGAGCATGATTGTCGGTGCCACCTGCTATGCCATGTTCATCGGCCATGCCACAGCCCTAATCCAGTCTCTGGACTCCTCACGGCGTCAGTACCAGGAGAAGGTAAGGACTGGGCTTTGCAACCCTATGTGACCCAGGGGTGGTTTACACACTGACTGGAGGAAGCCAGGGCTGTCAGTGGCCCATGTGAAAGCCAAAGGTGTGGTGTCTTTGTCACCACGGCAGTTTATTGGTAATTCATACCCATCCGTTCACTCAAACAGACCCTCAGGAGGAAATAGATGCAATATCAGATGAATAATAGTAGGGCAAGTGGGTGATTCTTGTCTGTGACTGTCTTTTTAGATCAACGTTATTGACGTCACTGGTATCTAAAACTGTAAAGCACTTTTTCCTTTCCGAGATCCTGTTTCAAATCGTAAGTGAATGTTCCAGAATGTGCAGCTTTTGTTTAGCAAGTACTTTCTTTGAAAGTATCCAGATTATTCACCTCAGTGCTCGTGAGTGAAACTACGTAACAAACCCCAAAGCACAGATCAAAGCTCAGGAGCACTGAACAGGTTCTCCAGGTAGCTATTGAATTAATTGCACAGTTGTTGAATTGCATAATGTAGGGCACAAACAGAAATGTCACAGCTGATCAGGTTACCACTGCAGTGGCAGTAACTGGTGGTGGTGGCTTTAAGGCAATGCTGTGAATTTGTAAGATGGTAAGGGGTAAACAGGGTCAGTCACCATGATTCAGCTGATGAGGGGTAACTCATGAAACTGCATCAATTCGTTCCTTCTTTCCATGCCTTCACTATATTGCTATCTGTACAATCACATTTTGTTATCTGAAGCAAAGGGGCTGCTGGTGCAATGATACTTTTCCCTCTAGGACATAGGCAGGCAAAACTTCTGCCTTCAACTTCTGGTTGAACCAGTAGGCCTGCACCTCCACAAAACAGGAGAGCTAATTGAAGAGTGACTCTGTACACCTAAGAGCAAGGGCCTGGCTGGCTCAGAGGTGAGGAAGGGACTTCACCGCCAAGGCAGTAGGTTACTTTCAGGCATCAACAAAAGCAACTGCCCTCAATTAGTAGGGCTGAGGATGCCATAGGCAAAGAGATGTTACAGTCAGGGTCTTATGGATATATTTGATCTGAAGATTAAGAAGAGGAAGAATTAGTTACTAGCCATATTCTGACCCTGCCAGGTGCAGTTAGATTAGGTGAAAGGGTAGCTGTTATTCAAGTGGGTAAACTGTGGCTAGCATGCACAGGCTAGGTGAATTTTAAGTTCAGGGAGGAGGTGGGAGAAAGGATTTGTTAGATGGCCTACTAACAGGTTTGAGACACTGGGATTACAATGCTGGGCCACAGAAAGAGAATAAGGCAGAGAGTGAAAGCAAAGACGACCAGGAGCTGAATCATGCACTGAGGATAGGGAAGATCTCAAACCACAGCTAGAGCTAAAAGAGGGAAAAAGCCCAGGAGAAGTAGTGTGGAGGACTGGGATGCAACTAGAGCACTGGGCTCTGTGTAGAGTTTTACCACTGTGTTACAGATTGGCTCAACTAATTCTAATTGAGAGTAAGGCATGCCAAAGAGAAGGATGCTGCAGCACTAGGAATGCAAGCTGATCAAATCTGTGTATGCAAAGTATTTATTCAAATGTGTTTGAAGTAGCATAGAAGTCAAGGACTGATTTGCAAATCCAACCACCTGGTCAACCTAGCCGCAGCCAAGTTTACACCTGCAGGACTGGGCACTACGATTTTTTTCTCAAACCAGGTCTGAAGACAAGGGCAGAACTTGACCCTGGAAGTTGGATTCCAATCAGCGCTCAGGGAAATCAGTCACCAGTAAGCCAGCAGGGATTGCAGCGAGGGTTGCAGAAGTGTGAAATGTTAAAGCCTTATTAGAATGTGGAGATGTGAATGAGAGGGTTAATAGATCCAGGAGAAAAACTGTGACAAAAGCAGTGGGTAGAGGATTTAACAAAGGGTATGTTTCATGTGTAGTGGTTATAGCAGGTTCATTTCCCAAGATATTCTCCTAGGATTAAAGCCTCAGGGATTGAGTACGTTCATTTTCCTCTTGCAAATGGGACAAATGATGGCTTAAAAACAAATATGTATTTACTTTCTGCATTCCTTAGCACTTGAATAGCTATGATTAAAATGAGGCTGCTTCGTGATTTGCAGCCCTGCAGCTCAATTTAGTTCAGTCCTCATGGGACAATGGGTCTGTTGAAGCATATTATGAGCAAAGAATCTCAACAAGTTTGGAGGTCGATTGGTAGAAGCAGACAGCAGTTTAGAGACTCTGCTGAGTACACCTTGGGGCTTCAAACAGGGCTCTGCCTCTCACCTCAGCAGAGGCTCAGGCTACAGAGACTTTAGCAGCTGTTCTGGGAGTAGCCAAAGAAAGGGGAGACAGTGGGGAGGGAGAGGAATAGCAGAAATAACATAGTACCAGGACAGAAAGTTATAGCTAATAACCGTACTGACAGGCTTTGCTTTGTGTAACCTTAAGGACAAGGTTCGGGAGTGAGTTTGTGGTGAAGTTTCAGATTGTCTAGGTCTCTGCCAAACCAACTTGTTCTTCCCTTGTACAAATAAGGCTTTTAAGAAGAGGAATAAAAGCCAAGATGTGCTGTCTGTTGGCTTCAGTAGCAGGCTTGTCTCACTCTGGGTTGGATTCATTGAACATTTGGACGTTCAATCCCTGTCCTCTCTAAATCTCCTCCTGTAACATCTGACTTCGTGCTATGCTGGTTTCTGCAAGGCAGGGAAGCTGTATAGGATCGATGGGTAGTAGGAAGCATGGAGAATTTGGAGAGGGAAGTTGCACCCTCTAAGACAGTGTAGTGCTGAGATTTCTGAGTACAAGTGGAGAGTCTCATGTGGCACAGAGCACTCACACCAGCTCAGGCACTGGAAGTGGCACGGACATCATGTAAGTCTGGCTCTGTGCCTCCCTTAAAAAGCTCTGAATGAGAATAGCTCTTTAGGTCTGGCACTCTGAAGTGACTGTTTTATTTCCAGTTCCAGAGGCAAAGTTAGAAGGGACCTGTCTGTCCCATCTTGCAATGCAGAGTGTGTTATGCCCATGTCACAGAGAGAGTCAGTGGCAGGATCAGGAGCTGACTCTTATCTCTTAACCTCAGTCTGGTGTCTAACTCCAAAATATCTTTGCACCCAAGATTGGTGTCTATTTCCTACATGTGAGAGAATATTACTACAAGTCCATCCTGAAGGATTCTGATAGAAAAATTTCCCAAAGTCATGTTGTGCAGTTACATATTATAACTGAATCGATTTGACAGCTTTGACCAAAGAGGGGAAGCCTCACATACCTGTTCTCACCCAGTGCTCTCTGCTATTTTTCTCAACTGCACCGTTTCACTCTTGTGCACCACCTTTCCTACTTCTCAGACCTTTAATGAGCTGATGTCTTTCTTCCAGGTTAGTTTTCTGCCAGATTAGTGGGTTGAATTAGCTTACTGTAGAGTCCAGTGAGTGCCAGAGCTGGTGCAGGGTGCTGGTGGAGGAGGTCCATAAGCAAAAGCACAGGCGCAAGGCCCTTTTCAGCTACTCATGGATCAGCTCAAGCCTTAACATGTAAGTTCATCATTGACTGCGAAATTACCCCACAACCTGCAGTAACTGTGGCTCACAAGAGAGGAAGAGTGTTTCCTGCCCAGGAGATGAATAAACTGGATCGATATGCAAGTTATTTTCATGCTTTTTGCAGGTTCCGCTGTTAATTTCTTTCTCTAATCCTAAAGCTCAGCTGGATTAATGTTTATGTCAAGTCACCACATACACACACACACACTCTCATCCTCCGCAGCAGACTGTAACCTTGAGGCTTTCGGGAGCAGTGATTATGCTGCTTACTGCAGCCATGCTCCTTGGAACAAAGCAGAGAGAGACTTTGGACATCCCAGCAGGATGTAAACAGTGATGGGCATCGTGCAGAGAGGCTCGGCTCTCCCGTGTTATCTTCTCAGGTACATACAGAAGAATGACTGATGAGAGGTAGGAATTGCTGCTGTCAGCGTTGCAGAGCCCAGCAAAGCTGTAATCTCTCCTTCCAGAGCCTCATCTCTCAAGATCTGTCTGCTACACTGGCATTGCCTCAAGCTCTCTGCTCTCCACAGTCTCCCTGCTCCTCCTCCCCCCTGAACCACCACTATCTGAACTATCCAATGAACCCTGAACTATACAATGCCTCTCATTCTTAAAATATATATTGAAACTGGGTAAATACTTGCATATTCACTTATCATCATTCTGAAGAAGCACCTGCTGCAGTACAGTTGCAAGAGGGCAAGCAGGTAACACTAAAGAGAGAATCACTTTATGAATCCTACAGAAGCACTAATGGCATCACCTCTCAGCTCCTGAAACAGCCCTGCTCAACCATCGGCACAGTCCTTCTTGCCACAGTTTTATCCCATGGTCTGGCTATCCAAGTAAAAAAGCATTTTACTGTCCAACTATCAACAGATGACAGCCCTTCTGTCACCAGCCTGAATTCAACGAAGAGTTATTGCGGAAAATTTAGTAATTGTAAAGGCTGAAGCATAACAACTGGAATGTGCCATCTCTGTTGGAGACAAAGCAGATGTTAGACCAATATTCATTAGAGGGGAAGTGAGACACTACCATTGTGCCTGCCTACTACAATAAGAGCTGAGAATCTGTCTTCTGGGCTTAATCAGTCCTTGCACTTTCTTGGAAACCAGCAGTATAGAGTCTTATTAGGTAACAGATTTAAGGAGTGATTTTTTTTTTTTAATGGTATGTAATTAAACTGTGGAACTCACTGCTACAGGGTGCTGTGGAGGCCCAAAGTTTGATTAGCCTCAGAATATTTAGACAAATTCACATAAGAAAAATCTTTCAAGTGTTACTGAATGCTAAGATGCAGATACAACCCCTGGCAGTGGGTATCCCTAATCTGCTTTTGTCAGAAAAGCTGGGAGGGTATGGCCAGGGAGCTGGATTGCTGTGTGCCTCTTTTATTCTTTCTCCTCTTTCTCAAAGCACCTGAAACTGTCAGAGAAACACCGCCAGGTGAGAGGAGCCCTCAGCCTGACCCTTCGTGGCT